TAATCATATTCACAATCATATTCCCATAATCAATTCACAATCATATTCATAATCATATTCATAATCATATTCATAATCATATCCAAGTCATATTCACCCCAATCATATTTCATTTAAACATATCCATAATTCATATTCACAATTATATTCATAATTCATATCCATAAGTCATATCCATAATCATATTCATAATCTATCCATAATCATATCCATAATCATATTCACAATTTATTCACCAATAATATCATAATCAATCCAAATCCATATCCATAATCATATTCACAATCATAATTCAAATCATATCCGATAAATCATATTTCAATAATTCATTATCCATAACATACACCCAATCATATCCATATAATTCATATCATTAATCATATCCATAACATATTCCATAATCATATCATAATAATTCATAATCATATCCATAATCATATTCACCAATCATATCATAATCATATTCATAATCATATCAATAATCATATTCATGAATATATGTCACAATCATATTCACAATCATATGCATAATCAGTATCCATTAATCATATCCCATAATCATATCACAATCATATCCATAATGCATATTGCATAATCATATCCATAATCATATTCATAATCATATTCATAATCATATCCATAATCATATCCATAATCATATTCATAATATATTCACAATCAATCCATAATTTCATAGTTCCACAATTTCATAAATTTTTTTTTTTCATAATCATATCCATAAATCCATATCCATAAATCTTATTCAAGAATTCATATTTCATAATCAATTCATAATCATTATATAATTCATATTCACAATCATTCCCATAATCATATTCACAATCTATCCATAATCATATTGCAAATCATATTCATAATCATATCCATAATTCAGTATTCATAATAAGATTCCATAATCATATCATAATCATTATCCATAACATATTCATAATCATATTCCATTAATCATATTCACATCATATCCATAATCAATCACAATCATATCCATAATCATATCCACAATCATATTCATAATTCATATCCATAATCATACATAATAATATCCATAATCATATTGCATAATCAGTATCCATAAATCATATTCATAATCATATTCATAATCATATTCATAATCATATTCACAATCATATCCATAATCATATTCACAATCATATTCATAATCATATTCATAATCATAATCCATAATCATATTCACAATCATATCCTAATCATATTCATAATCATATCCATAATCATATTCATAAATAATCATTATTCATAACATATCCATAATCATATTCATAATCATATCCATAAATATCAAATCAATCATATTCATAAATCATATCCATAATCATAATCATAATCATATTCAAATAATCATATCTCATAATCATATTCACAATCATATCCATAATCATATTCACAATCATATCCATAATCATATTTCATATCATATCATAATCATATTCACAATCAATCATTCCATAAATACCATCATATCATAATCATATCCATAATCATATTCACTAATCATATTCATAATCATATTCATAATCATATCCATAATCATATCCATAATCATATTCCACAATTCATATACATAATCATATCCATAATCATATTCACAATAAATCATTATTCATAATTCATATTCATAACCATATTCAATCAATCATATTCCATAATCATATTCACAATCATATCCATCACAATCATATTCATAATCATATCATAATCATATCCATAATCATATTCACATCATATCCATAATCATATTCCAATTATTATAATCATATCCATAATCATATCCACAATCTTATTCTATCATATTCATAATCATATTCATAATCATATTCATAATCATATTCAAATCATTCCATAATCATATCCAATAATCCATATCATATTCACAATCATATATTCATAATCATATTCATAATCATATCCATATCTATCATATATATCATACATATTCATAATCATATCCATAATCATATTCATAATCATAATCCATAAAATCATATTCACAATCATATCATAATCATATCCATAATCATATTCATAATCATATTCAATCAATCATATTCCATAATCATATTCACAATCATAATCATAATCATATCCATAATATATCAAATCATATTCACAATAATATCCATAATCATATTCACAATCATATTCATAATCATATTCATAATCATATCCATAATCATATTCACAATCATATCCAAAATCATATTCACAATCATATTCATAATCATATCCATAATCATATTCATAATATATTCATAATCATATCCATAATCATATTCACAATCATATTCATAATCATATTCATAATCATATTCATAATCATATTCATAATATATTCACAATCATATTCACAATCATATTCATAATCATATCCATAATCATATTCACAATTATATTCATAATCATATCCATAATCATATTCACAATCATATTCATAATCATATCCATAATCATATTCACAATCATAGCCATAATCATGTTCACAATCACATTCATAATCATATGCATAATCATATTCACAATCATATCCATAATCATATTCACAATCATATTCATAATCATATTCATAATCATATTCATAATCATATTCACAATCATATTCACAATTATATTCATAATCATATCCATAATCATATCCATAATCATATTCACAATCATATTCATAATCATATCCATAATCATATTCATAATCATATCCATAATCATATTCACAATCATATCCATAATCATATTCATAATCATATCCATTAATCATATCCATAATCATATTCATAATCATATCCATAATCATATTCATATATCCATAATATCATATTCATAATCATATTCACAATCATATTCATAATCATATCCATAATCATATTCACAATCATAGCCATAATCATGTTCACAATCACATTCATAATCATATCCATAATCATATTCACAATCATATCCATAATCATATTCACAATCATATTCATAATCATATTCATAATCATATTCATAATCATATTCACAATCATATTCACAATTATATTCATAATCATATCCATAATCATATCCATAATCATATTCACAATCATATTCATAATCATATCCATAATCATATTCATAATCATATCCATAATCATATTCACAATCATATCCATAATCATATTCATAATCATATCCATAATCATATCCATAATCATATTCATAATCATATCCATAATCATATTCATAATCATATCCATAATCATATTCATAATCATATTCATAATCATATTCATAATCATATTCATAATCATATCCATAATCATATTCATAATCATATCCATCATATCATATCTTCATAATCATATCCATAATCATATTCATAATCATATTCATAATCATATTCATAATCATATCCATAATCATATCCATAATCATATTCATAATATATTCATAATCATATCCATAATCATATTCACAATCATATCCATAATCATATTCATAATCATATCCATAATCATATTCATAATCATATCCATAATCATATCCATAATCTTATTCATAATCATATTCATAATCATATCCATAATCATATTCATAATCATATTCATAATCATATTCACAATCATATTCATAATCATATCCATAATCATATTCACAATCATATCCATAATCATATCCATAACCATATTCATAATCATATTCATAACCATAATCCGAAATCTTATCTCTTTCCTGATTGGTGCACCTAGAAAGCCAGGAACCAATCAGAATGCTGGGATGTCACGGAAAATTTCACGGGACGGACTTTTCGAAATTATAATATAGATTGCAAATTAAGTACAAATTAAAATTAGCGATTTCAATAGGGGCTGTCCATAAATTACGTAACGCAAAAATCGTCATTTTTTAGACCCCCCTCCCCCTCGTAACGGCATCGTAACGCTTCTCGACTACCCCCCTCCCCCTTCGTAACGTAACATAAATTTGATTTCACCGCAGGTGATTTACTTAGCACTCGCAATGCATTGTGCGGAATTTTGGGGCGGCACCGTTGAAGGGAAAGGGGGTATCGCTCATTCTGTTACCACAAAATAGAGCCAAAAATCCAGTTTATTTTTACTTATACAACCAGATCATTTCGGTTACTCCATTTTGAGATATTTAAGGTCAAAGTTTGACCGCAAACTTTTGCAAATGAATTGATCTGGTTGTACATATCTATGTAAAAATAAACTAGATTTTTTCGTATATTTCTTGGTAACAGAGCGAACGATGGACTCGTTACCCCCCCCCTTTCCTTGACCGGTTCCGCCCTAAAATTTCCCACTGTAATGCAACCTTTTCTCAATTTACACCTGGAAAACTAATGAAAAATGTATATTTACATGCGTACACTGAAATCTTTTGGATGACATGAATTCAATATGCTCGGCGTATCATATTTGGCGAATTTTAGTCCAGTTTATAAAATGTGTTACGTAACAAATTTTTTATACCCCCCACCCCCTTCGTAACAATTCGTAACGCACTTCCCATGACCCCCCCCTCCCCCCTCTTGCGTTACGTAATTTATGGACGGCCCCATAGCGCGGTTTGAAGTATGTACATAATAAATAAAAAGTGTAAAATTATAAACATATTTTGAGTTGGAAAACAAATAAATGGGTATATTTACTTGCTTGCGAAAAATAATTTTCTACTAGGCATCAAGTAAATTTACATAATATTTATTCTCATGAATTTCAATTTCATGAATGCTGCCAGATTGCTGCCACAAATTCAGAATTTGTGGCAGCTACATCGATAATAGTAATTCTGTTACTGATTGTAAAAATATAGAAAATCTGACAAATATTGGATCACTTGGAACTTATTCAAGAAATGATTCTAAAAATCTAAAAAAAATTAAACATGTAAATTAATACGTTTTCATATGCAAATTCTCAGATTATGACATCGTGAATGTGAATCATGTCTCAATTTCCCCACCTGAAAGAGCACGAAGACAAATCCCTGCCGGCTGATCAGACGCATTTTTTTGACAAATAAAAAATTAACTTTTTTCTCAACAATCCATTCACATCTTATCAAGCTGATAGCTAACTAATTACTCAATTATGGAGTCAGCATCCCCTCCTGGCATCATCATTCCAGCAAAGAAGCTGAAACTTTGGAAAGTTTTTAGCGACCTAGGCCCTGAAGGGGACAAGATTTTGAAAACGGCGAAATTGGCACATACATGCCCACGAAAGGGAAGGGTACGTCGTAACCGCGGACGACCAGACTTACTACTTCTTCCGTAATGATGGTGGTAGGGTGAAAATTGTCACAATTCCAAAATTGTGCCGCGTCCGAGTGAAAGGTGCACATTTTAATTTAAATTTAAAGACCTTGTGCATTGTGCATCATTTTCTCAAATATGAATTTTATGCCGTTTCTAGAATTTATAATTGGATTATCAACCCTAGCCTTAACGGAGGATGGGCAAATCTATTCGTGGTGCCGTAAGGTCACCGGTGTTCTTTCGTGTATTGCGAGCGCATTGAAGGGCCTCGATACCGGGAGACATCCAGAACCCTTCGATTTTCCCTCCCCTGTAGCTGTAACGGGCAGTCTGACCGGTGAGAAAGTAGTGCAAGTGGCGTCATCAGGAGGACGTCATGTTCTGGCAGTAACTTTGGGGGGCGATGTCCATCAGTGGGATTGGCCAAGGGAGCCAAGCTTGATTGCAGGCGAGAAATTTGGTGACCAGAAGGTTGTCTCCGTGGCGTGTAATAATTACCTGAACGTCGCCCTAACTGAGGATGGAGAGGTATGTTAATGCATTCGGTGTAAAATTATTCAATTTTAAATTGCACAATGCATGATCAAAAATGCTTAGGATTTTAAATGCTTTGAGTTTTTGACATCTGCATGGTGGTATAAATTTAACGACGACAAGAACAATTCTATTAGCAAACTATTTTAAACATGTTTCAACAGGTATTTGAATGGGAATGGGGAAGCGAGCCACAAAAATCGGCTCTAAGTACCTCCTCACGAATTAAGAAGGTAATTGACATGCATAATTTTTGGACATATATATTTAAACTCCGGTTCACGCTGGGTGATGTTATCGCCACACTAAAATAACATGGGAATCTCCTGCTCCTTGCCTGTGGCGCTGAACTCCCTAAGCGTGAAACGGAGTTTAACTCAACTGGTCATTTACTTGCGTATAGATAACGGCAAGCAAAAGTACCATTTTCGCACTGACTGTTGATGGATCGATGCAGCCGTTACCCGTTTCTGGGAACCCCACCACGGTTGTAGAAGAGTTGTCGTTTTCAGGCTACAAAAGCGTCAAAGAGGTCGCAACCTGTGTTACGGAGGATGTCAGCGTTGTCGAATTGAATGCTAACACCTGCTTAGGTCGTTACGTGGGAAATCGGGCCCCTTGGACAGTGCCATTTTTTACAAAATCTGCTTCCTTGGACGAGGCTTTTGCGCAAATTTCTCAGACCAGCTACCGAACTATGTGGGTCGCACGTGAACCTGAACCACGTAAATTGTGTGATGACATTTCCAACCTGTGGACCACGAAGGTTAGTGGATATTTTAGGGGGCTAAGGAAATATTTAGAAAATTTGTAATCTTTTTTCTTCATAGAAAAATGCGGATGTTACATTTTCCGTGGAAGGGAAACTCATCTCTGCGCACAAACTAATTTTGACAATGAGAAGTGAATATTTTGAAAAAATGTTTAGCGGTGAATGGGCCGAGACAGACGGATCGTGAGTATAATGTTTAAGAAAATACATATTTGTGATGGAAATGTTCAATTAATCAAGCAAATAGAATATGTAAAATGTATTTGTGGTGATTCTTTACAGGATTGTTGATATCAAGGATACGAATCACGACATATTCGAAGGGCTGATCTTCTACATTTACCATGACAAGATTCCATTCGCGAATTTTGACTATGAAAACCTCTTTGGTAAAGGAACCTTGCCGCATGATTTATGGAATCAAAGTATTTATTTAGTGGTCTATAATTAAAAGCATAATTTATTGATTATTTTTAGGCCTGATGAAATTAGCTGATTCCTATTGTGACTTAACAATTCGGCGAGAATGTGAGGAAATTCTGATGGGAAGTGTCAACAAGGAGAATGCTTTCTTCCTGCTTCGAAATGCTGCTTCAGTCAACGCTCTGGTTTGTAGTTTGAGTCAATTGTGATTTGAATAATTCATTCATTTTGAATAATTAATTATAATCTGTGGATTTAGGATTTGGAGGAGAAGGTCACAAAAGTTATTCTGGACAGTCAATTCTTCGGTGAAACTTTGTCTCCTGCCGAGTTGGTCGATTTGTTGGGGAGAGAAGCGTTCGACAAATTGGCGACGGCGGCATTTTACCGGAATTGAAGAGCTCAGCAACAATTTTGCTTGCTACTTTTACAATTTTAGAAATACTAAGACATGCAGCAATGGAAATGATGTGTACTTTGTACTCGAATGTCTAGGTTTAGTTTTTATTGACATTATTAATAATTGACTGTATGTTTTAGAAAATGTATGTATACATTTTGGGAATACTCGATCACTCTCATTTCATAGTCGAGTTAATAATTTAATATGATCTGATTTATACTTAACTAGATATTATTAAAATTTACAACTTGGGAATCATGTTCTTTTTACTTGAGCCTAGTGAGATTTCATGTCTTTCAATTATGCAACAGAATGCGTATGTAGGCAGGCATGAAGGGAAAATAATTGAGTTAAAATCAGCACAATAAATAACAAATTTAAGCAGGAAAAATGTATTTTCAAAAATTAAACTTCGTACTACTGACTCAGAATTACTTCACCAAAAATTTGATTCCCGCTTCGTATCCCTACCATACTAATAGCATGGGAAGGATAACAGCGCGGGATGGAAAAGAAAAACTGAGTTGATATTAATTCGAACTAGTAATTAAGAATGACTCGGAAATATATTATCAAAAAGTGTAAGTCCTGTCTCAACTTCCCCAGCTTGAGGCGCCTGGGACGAAGACAAACCTGCTGCACAATTTTTCATAAAAAATAAATTTTTTTGTCCTTTTCAGTCATTTATTTTACAACTTAAATTCACCAGTCAATAAATAACAATGGAGTCCCCAACCCCGTCGCATGGCATCATTCCAGCAAAGAAGTTGAAAATTTGGAATGTTTTTAGCGACATGGGCAACGGGGATGTATTAAAGGTTGCGAAGTTAGCACACGCCCACGGAACAGATGGGTACATCGTCACCATGAGGGACCAGACTTATCATTTTGACCGTCACGAATGTTGGGCAGGAATGTGCCTAATTTCGGAGTTGTGTGACATCCGAGTGAAAGGTGAGTGTCGTAAAAAATAAAATAGTACACGAAAAAAAGGCAATGGGTCAAGTTTCATAAATATCAGTAACGTAATTTTCGACGACAATATGATTTTACTGCGCTTGCAAGTTACAGTCGTAACTTATTTTGCAATACGAAAAATACTAAAAGAATGCGAAGAAATAGTGACTACCCTCAATATCTACTAAATGTAAGTTTTTCCTGTTTCCAGAATTTGTTATTGGAGCGATTGGCCTGGCCTTAACGGAGGACGGGCGACTCTACTCGTGGCGCATGGCCAACAGCACCGTTTCCCCCATTGCTGAAGCTGGCAGTTTGACCGGAGAGAAAGTAATTCAAGTGGCATCATCGTCATCAAAAGAGCGTCTCCTAGCATTAACTTTGGGTGGCCGTGTTCATCACTGGGTTTGGAAAACCGCACCATCTTTGATTCCAGGGGAGAAATTTGGTGACCAGAAGGTTATCCCCGTGGCGTGTAATAATTATATGAACGTCGCCTTAACTGAGGATGGAGAGGTACGTTCATGGACAATGCATCCTGGAGTTGTGCAGCTTAATTTGACATAGTATTCCAGGGTCAAATTAACTTGGCATTATTCTCAGCAGACGTCGGATATGAATGAATGATAAAACCTCAAAATATGAATGAAAAATGACCGTAAAAATCCCCAAAATATGACCATAAAATAGACTATTTTACAAATTTTTGGCTTAATTTTTTGGTATATTTTCTTGTAATGTTCAATTTTTATCAATTAAACAAGTTCTGGGGTGATTTAATTCATTCCGAATGAATTAAATCGCCTTAGGCGAAAGTGAACATAAATTTCTGAAAGTTTCTCACAATGAATAATTGTGAGAAAACTGAATTTTTTGCATTTTCTGTCGATTTGGTTGCCAAATCTTAGAATTTGACCAAAAATGATAAAATGAACGAAAAAAGCCCGAAATATGATCGGGAATATGAATATGTCCCAAAACCAGAAAATATGATAAATATGAGAAAATATGCTTTGACCTACGTGACCTACTAGTGACCATAAACATTCTCAGAAAGTTTGGCGACTGTAGGTCAATAAATGGAAAAAGTCATTTTTCATTCATATCCGACGTATGATTCTCAGCACTTAAATTTTGACACGTGTTATTCAATTAGAAAACTAATTTTTGACAGCTATATGAATGGAAATGGGGAAGCGAGCCACAAACATCAGCTCTAAGTACCTCCTCACCAATTAAAACGGTAATTAATTACGATGTGGACGATGTGGTATACAGAAGAGCTGTATTATTTAGCATGCACATTTATGTAGGTAGTTAACTCAAATTGTCCTTTATTTGTGTGCAGATTACATCAACCAAAAGTACCATTATCGCCTTGACTGTTGATGGGACGATTCACTCGGGGGCCTTGTCGGAAAATCGCTGGAAGGGGGATCCAGTATGGTCAACACTTTCAGATTACACAAACGTCCAGGATATCGCAACCTCTGTGACGGAGGACGTTAGCGTTGTCGAGTTCAAGGATGGCAACCGTTCTGGGTGTTACGTTTTTTAAAATCCGGTTCCTTGGTGTGCCCCATTTTTTACAAAATCTGCTTCGTTGGACGAGTGCTTTGCTGAAATTTGTCAGAAAAGCTACCGAACTGTGAGGGTCGCACATGAATCTGCACCAAACAAAGTGAGCGACGATATTTCCAACTTATGGAGCACCAAGGTTAGCTACATATAGTTTAATTTCATGAGAGTGAAAAGTATTTTAAAACGGGACGTTCTTATTTTACGAACTTCATAGAAAAACGCGGATGTTACATTTTCCGTGGAGGGAAAACTTATCTCTGCGCACAAACTAATTTTGACGATGAGAAGCGAATATTTCGAGAAAATGTTTAGCGGAGAGTGGGCCGAGGCGGAGGGGTCATCGTGAGTATAATTTAAAAAAATATACATATTCATGTTCAATTTCAGATACAGAAATCTTGAATTGTTCACGTATGGTGTGCAAAATTTATTTTGTGAATTTTTACAGCATTGTTGTCATCAAGGATACGACGTACGACGTGTTTGAAGGTCTTCTTAGCTACATTTATCGTGACAAGGTCCCCTTCTCGGAGCTCGACTACGAAAACATTTTTGGTAAGGGATATCTTGCCATACAATTGCTGGAATTAAAGTATTTATTAGTGAGCGTACTATAGTGGCATGCGATGACTTCGATACACCGCAATAGTTTCCGTACTGAGCAAATTGAGCATATTAACATAATTTGCGAAGTATTGCGAATCCCCTCACGATATAAATATCTTGGGCTTCGCAAATTTGATAAATGAGTTTCGATGCGAAATAAGACGTTTTGGTGATTACGCTAAGTTTAGCGTTAAAACATAACTTAATTGATTGTTTTTTTGTTATTTTTAGGGCTGCTGAAATTAGCGGATTCCTATTGCTACTTGACGATCCGGCAAGAATGTGACGAAATTTTAATGCAAAATATCACCAAGAAGAATGCTTTCTTTCTGCTTCGAAATGCTGCTGCAGCCAACGCGCTGGTTCGTGATTTAAGCGAATTGATAATTTTTTTTAAAATTATTCATTGTCAATAATTAATTTTTATAATGGTCCATGACCCATGTAGGATTTGGAGGGAGAAGCGACAAAATTTATTCTGGAGAATGGTCTCTTCATGGCGACCTTATCTTCTTCCGAGTTGGTCGATTTGTTGGGGAGAGAAACATTCGACAAATTGGCGATGGCGGCGATTTGTCGATAGTTTGGAGTTAAAGTCAAGATTTAACAACAATTTGTTTTATATATAAGTTCTAAAATTTTAGAAATAAAATGACTAATAAATGAAAATATAAAATATAAACGGAAAATGGTTTGTACGTACTCGAAGGTATAGTTTTTGGCATGAAGTGAAAATATATCAGACGTAATACCAAGGTTGAGCTTTAGGCAAAATGTATCTTTATTTTCAGAAATTTAAATTTAGCTTAGTAATTCGAATTAAAAAGAATTAAGAATAGTAACGTGACGTGCATAATAAATTCTCTGCAAGTCTAGACAATTGCCCTCTTGAATGAAATTCATGTCTCAGTTTCCCCAGCTTATGACCTTGACACCTAGCGCGAAAATAAACCCTAATTATTACCGGAATTATTTTGGGGAATAAAATTGCAAATTACCATTTTTTTCTCATTTCAACCATCCATCTCCCATCTTATCAATTACATGACAATGGAGGAGCATGTTATCATTCCAAAAAAGAAGTTGCACATTTGGAAAATTTTTAGCGACCCGGGACCGGAAGGAGATAAGATTTTAAAAACGGCGAAACTGGCACATGCCAAAAACGAAAAGGAAGGATTCGTCGTCACCATTGCGGACCAGACTTATTACTTCTTCCGAGATGATGGCGGTGGGGTGAAAATTACCCGGGTTCCGGAATTATGTGGCGTCCGAGTGAAAGGTGTTACATTTATTTTAATTGAAATTTTAAGAATTCATATAGACAAAATGATTTTATGAGTCTGTTTCTAGAATTTATTATGGGATCAATTAGCCTGGCTTTAACGGAGGATGGGCGACTCTACTCATGGCTCTGCCCAGATGCAGTTTCTCAGAAATCTTCCATTATTCACCCGGTAGCTGTATCGGGCAGTCTGACCGGAAAGAAAGTCGTGCAAGTGGCGTCATCAGATGGGTGTGTCCTGGCATTAACTTCGGATGGCGATGTTCACCACTGGCTTTGGCAACCCGAACCAACCTTGATTGCAGGAGAGAAATTTGATAACAAGAAGGTTATCTCCGTGGCGGGCAATGGTTATCTGAAGGTCGTCTTAACTGTGGATGGGGAGGTAAGCTTGTTCATGCATTTAGCTGTACAATGTCCAGGATGTGGCATAAGTGCTGGATGGGTTAAATTTGACGTGACGTACTAACTCCAATCAGTACTTGTTTTTAAACAGCTTTTCGAATGGAAATGGTTCGGAAGTTCGCCACAAAAATCGGCTCTAAGTACCTCCTCACCAGTTATGAAGGTAATTTTAACGAGATGTTTTAGTTAAATATAAAAATCCATATGCATTTTTATAATATTATTAAGCTTACTTATATGACTTACCTCAACTTATTTATGTGTAGATAGCGGCAAGCAAAAGTACCATTTTCGCATTGACTGTTGATGGCATGATGCACTCATGGACCTTTTCTGCAAGCTCATTCACGGCGAAGTGGGATCCAGTGTGGTTGCCGTCTTCAAACTACAAAAACGTCAAAAACATCGCAACCTGTGGGACGGAGGATGTTAGCGTCTGTTTTGGTTGTTATGTGGGAACGGCTCCCTTGAGTGCGCAATTCTTTACAAAGTCTGCTTCGTTAGACGAATCTTTCGCCCAAATATGTCAGACCAGCTATCGAACTATTTGGGTCGCCCGTGAACCTGAACGTGAACCACGAAAAGTGGGTGATGACATTGCCAACTTGTAGCTGACAAAGGTTAGTGAGTGACATTGTATGAGAGTGAAAAGTATTTTAAAACGTGACATTTTTACAGAAACATACAGATATCAAATTTTCCGTGGAAGGGAAATTCATCTACGCACACAAATTAATTTTGTCGATGAGGAGTGAATATTTTGAAAAAATGTTTAGCTGCGAGTGGACTGAGGCTGATGGGTCGTGAGTATTTTTCAAATTAAGACTGTTGTGGATGACGCGTTCGCGCGGAATCTCGCTCAACCCGTGTTAATGTCTTTAAATGTAATTTCTAAAATGGCATCAACTTCATGAGTGTTGAGATAAATGCAACTTTTGATAGCTTAATGTAAAGCTAATTTTTGGTACTACAAAACCTTGGTGTTTTGAAAAATTAGAAAATTCATTTTTGAAGAAATTTAGTGTGCAAAAATAGTAAATGAATTTTCGAATTTTTCAAAACACCAAGGTTTTGTAGCACCAAAAATTAGCTTTACATTAAGCTATCAAAAGTTGCATTTATCTCAACACTCATGAAGTTGATGCCATTTTAGAAATTACATTTAAACACATGGAGCACGGGTTGAGTGAGACTAAACACTCGATGAAAATGAAGTAGAGCCGCCTTAAATATATTTATCATGGAAATGTGCAGTTTCTAATAGTTTCTCAAATGGTGTGCAAATTTTTTTGTTGGTGAATTTTTGCAGGTTCGTTTACATCAAGGGTGTCAAGTACGAGGTATTTGAAGGTCTTTTGTTTTACATTTACCATGGCAGGGTCCCTTTCTCGAATTTCGACTACAAAAACCTAACTGGTAAATTTGTACTATTTTCTTGAATGCAAGCAGATATTTATTAGTTTAAACTTTAAAATTGGTGACTTGTTATTATTTTTAGGCCTCATGAAATTAGCTGATTCCTATTGCGAGGTGATCATTCGGCGAGAATGTGAGGAAATTCTGATGCAAAATATCAACAAGAAGAATGCCTTCTTTTTGCTTCGAAATGCTGCTTCAGCCAACGCCCTGGTTCGTGGTTTGCATGAATTTGTGATTTCATGTAAAATGAATATTGATTAATAAGTATTAAGTAATTTATTATCAATATAGGATTTGGAGGAGAAGGTCACAAAAGTTATTCTGGACAATCGAATCTTCGGTGAAACCTTGTCTTCTGCCGAGTTGGTCGATTTGTTGGGGAGAGAAGCGTTCGACAAATTAGCGATAGCGTCACTTTACCGAAATTAAAGGCCCCAGCAATATTTTTACTTTGTGCATGTATACATACCTCTAAAATTTTTGAAATACTATGACATGCATCGATAGAAAATAATCTGTACTCGAGAATTTAGGCTTTGTTTTTGTTGACATTAATAATATTAATTCAATGTTAACGTAATTATTAGTTTTCCATTTCAGTTTATCATAATATATAAGACGTATAACAAGTAATGCGCATGTACATAAATATTAGTGTATCTTCGATATTTGTACACATTATGAATTATACTAAACTTCAAATCGTCTGTATTTAGAAAAAAATCCGAAAATTGCATAAATAAGTTGTCTGTACTTCAACATTATTGCATCATTAATAAATAAACAATTTATTTTAATAAAGATACAAACAATTATAAAACCTTGCCATCATCCCAACCAAACATTTTGACCCAATCCCCACACCGCTCTGTCGACTGTAGAAGAATCCATGACCGCTGGATCCGGTATGACCGACTCCACGAATTGGGTCGATCTTCCCACCCCCGTCAAATTATTGATAGGTCGACCCACATTACTTCCACCAGGATTTGACCCCCCATCCGTCCCCTGCTTCTTCTTCTTCGTCACCTTCCACGTCTTGCTATGCTTCCTTAGACCACCCACCATAATTCCGTGGTGACCTCGGATATGCCAGGTCAACATCGTGCTGTCCGAATAGGCCGCGTCACAATGGGTGCAGGGGTACTTTGGTCCGTCACCGGTATGCAATTGGCGAACATGCCAGTCCAGCAATTCCTTCTTAGGGAACCCTTTTCCGCAAGGGACACATTTATGTTTCGTTTCCCCCTCGTAATCCACATTGTGAATGTGGATCAGGTGACGATCGAGGTGGCCCTTTGATCGGTACTGGTTCCCGCAGGTGGGGCAAGGGTAACGCGGTCCTTCGCCGGTGTGGGTTTTCATGTGCCCCGCGAGAGTAGACTTTGTGCGGAAGGCGGAATCGCAAACCTGGGGATGAAATTAATTAACTAATTAATTCTGATAAAGCTTATTGAAATTACAATTAATTAATCCCAAGGGTTAAGTAATTGACTAATCCTTACGTCACATTTGAACAGCCTTTCAGTCGGAACTGGTCTCAAATGAACGGCTTTGTGGCTTTTTAACGCCTTTAAGGTCGCGTAGCTGCCCCCACTAGAAGAAAAAAACACGATTTTCTAATTTCGCAATTAATTTCGCAAATTTAAATTTATTTAAATTATTAATTTATGTACCACTCGTCACAAATGAAAGCCTCGTCTCCATGCACCTCGACGCGATGGGCTTGCATTTTTAAAACGGTTTTGAACTCTTTGTTACAGGAGGCGCAAGGTACCAGACTTTTGTCCTCGTGACCCCTCAAATGTGCATTGAGCTTTCCTGCGGAGAAGAAACGCTTGGGACAAATGTGACATTGGTGCAAAGGCGTGGTTTCGTGGAGGGCGTGAATGTGCTTCAGTTTGGAATGGTAGTCGATAAAGGTTTCCTCGCAGTGGGTGCATTTGTACTTCTTCTCTCCGGTGTGGAATCGGTTATGCCTGGAAATTAAATGCATCCAAAATTGATTAGTATAATTTATCGACATACTTACTCAAAAAATTTCGCAAAGATTGAAAATTGTGCAGAACTTGCGAAATTTGGAACATTTCACAAAACTTTGGCTGTAAAATTATTTCGCAACATTGGGGATATTTATTAAAAGTTTGCATGTTTCGTATCACCACATGAATTTTAGAAATACTAGTCTTGGAGATGAGAAAGCTCGCAAATGAATTTACAATTAAAATTTTTGTGCTAACGATGCGAACTTGTAATAAATATCCCAATTATTTAGTAACATGTTACAATTATTTCTAAACGAGTTGTAGCTTGACCTACAAAATGGTTTTTAATTTCGTAAACTATTGGCAAATTAAGTTTTTTCATGAATAGAACCTGGTCGTGAGTACGCCCATTAAATTTTTTCACATAACTTCCTTACCGGGTTAACGAGGTCCTTGCACGACACTTGAAATCGCACTGGTCACACCTATACACCGTTTCCACATGAACATGAGTTTGCCAATGTTTATCCAAAATCTCCCGAGTAGTGACCCGATAATCGCACACGTCACAAACAAAGGGTCGTGTCTTCTCGACTTTATGCAGGTCCACATGTCGTTTCCAATTTTCCTCCAGAGTGAACTTCTTATCGCACTGGGAACACGTGTGGTTCTTCTCGTTAGTTTCGTGTTTCATGTAAATGTGCGCGGCGAGGCCGTTTTCACGGCGGAAGGGGGTTTTCCTCTTGCAGTGGGGGCAGTGAAAGGGGCGCGTCGTGCTGTGAGTTTCCTTCACATGCTTGTCCCGCAGCCCGGACATGCAAAACGTGCTTGGACAGAGGGGACAGGTGACCATTTGTTGCGCCAAGTGGGCTATGAGGTCATCTTCCGAAGAGAAAGGACGGGCGCACATGGAACATTCGTAGGACCGCGTGGACCGCGGGGGGACCGGATTCTTGCTGGGGGATTCAGTAGGTGGCTCGTACGGCTCGTCGGATTCATCTAAATAGTCGGAACCATCGGAATAATCGGAATCTTCGGGATCATCTTCGTTATCGGAATCATCGGAATCATAAAATTTTCGTTTCATGGATTGTTTTTTGGGCGGTGGTGCGACTTCTTCTTCTTCTGATTCGTCGTCGGCGAATATTTCCTTCAAGCTTTTGGACATTGTGGGTTTAACGGGACGCGTGGAACGACGACGGGAGGGTTGAGATTCTTCGTTCACGGGAACTTCCGGTATAGACTTTTTGGTTTTTGATGGGCTGTAAAGAAGTACAATGAAAAAGTATGTAAGAAAAATCCTGGAAATTTATGAAATGTATGTATAAAGAATAATAAAGATCAATGTACCGAATTGGGGGTGGTCGAGGTTGCTTCTTCTTTTTGGGGCCTCGCACGCTGACGGGAACACTGAGATCTGGAAGGATACAAAAGGAATAATCTGGGTCAGAGTGGACTTCTTCCTTGTGGGGGCGATCGTCATCCCCAGAGGGAGATGGAAAATTGTCCAAGAAGAGACCGGCAGAATCATCCTCGTGTACTTGTTCTTCTTTCACACGAATGTCTCCCAATTCAGAGGGGATGTTGGCTGGATTTTCGTCTAAAAACATAAAAATTCAATTAAAGTATTAAATATTAACTAAACCTAAAATGGGATTTTTTTGCAATTTTTTCGCCAAGCTTCGGTAAACCTACCCATTAAATATTTTCGAATCGCTCTAATCTTCACTAATTCGTCCCCATTTTCGTCTTTTGAATTAGATTTCCAAACAGTGAGTTTAATCGTGTCGACTTTTTGGCGAAGGCGAGCCTCCAAATTGGTAATCTGGTCGCGAATTTCCTCCGCCTCTCGTGTCGCGAATGAACAACTTCGACAAAGGGAACAGGTCTCGGTATCATCTTTATATTTGTTAATTTTCTTCCGATTGGTGTCCCAGAATGGGTGGAACAATTCGTAAAGGGTGACAATTTTAATCGTCGTTGAGTTGTCGTCATTATTAAAATTTGGGGATGAATCCTTCACGATAACGTTTAGACACAGGAGACAAATTCGATTGGTCATGGTGACACTGGGGTGAAATTTTAGTTATGTAAGTTTAATTAAAGACAAGTTTTAGAAAAATGATTGTAAATTAAATTGTTTTTACCATGAACTGTTTTGTTGCTTTCAAAGTATTCGTTTAATTTGCGGTTATCCGTCTGCCCACGCGACCCATTCCTGTAGATACATAAAAATATATAAAAAAATTAAAAAATATTGTTGCTTCAATCAAAATTCAATATTCACATTCAACAAAAATTGTAAATTACAATTTGTAATCCGCCACAATTTCAAACTTGTTATTCTTAAAAAACGCGTTTCTTACCCCGCAAACTGTCTTATCTTCATATAGGTAACTGATTAATAGCTTTGCCATTACACATTTAAAAAAACCACAGGCTATTTAATACAGGTAAAATTTAGAAATGTTTAATGTTTCCGATCGAAGTGTGCAGTGTGCAGTGTGTAAACACAATATGAACTGATGGCAAATTACACTTTTCCCACTTTTGGTGGTGCCGTATTTCTCTTTGTTTTAGAATGTTTGCATGCAAAAATATGTGCTGGTCGGATTTGACAAAAAATATTTACATATCAATCAACAGTTTAAAACATAAGTACTTAAATTGTACAATTTAGGTCTAATGGTATACCTGAATTCATGTAATGTAAAGATTTGATAAAGTTTTGGTTAATACTTTTACCTTTTACATATGTATTTATATGCTTTAAATTTCTTACATTTGCGACGTTAATATATGCATGTACATGAATATAAACATGTTTGTAACCTTGCAAATAATTAATTTTATATCAGTATCAAATTTCAATTCAAATACGTAACAAGTTAATTATATTTACATGTTTAATAGATTTGTGTAATTAGGATAAAATTACTCTTCATGAATGTATTTGTGTAATTTTGGACTTGTGGATTCTTCACTTATTTATTCCTTGTGCTACACAAAAACTAGTTGGTTAATTACAAATAAATTAAGTCGCCAGCATGAAAACTAACTTTATTCATTCTAATGAACAATAATTATGTTCTTCGTAAACATTTGACGAAGATGCATTCAAGGAAATTTGCTCATCTTGAGAAATGTTTGTTGCAGCTTGTTTATTTTTTCCGCATGGCCACCGTCTCCTTGTGTCGTCTTCTGGATGCACCCCCCAATCATTTCCGGCCATCCAAGCGTCGTATTTTTCAGGTTGAAATCGTTCAACGAAAGATTCCTTATCGATGGTAACCTCGTCATCGTAACAAGCACAATGCGACGCCCTCTTCCCATACTCTATCCACCGAGTGGTTGCAAAATTATTAGATTCTGAACAATTATAACCATGATTAAATCCGAAATGATAACCAAATGGGAAAGTTACGATGAACTCGCCACTCTCCTGCGTTATCTGGAACAAATGAAAAATTAGTTATGCAAATTTTTGCATTATTTCGAACTTGATAAATGTGTACATAAAAATGTAGGACAATGATAACCTTAGACTACCTTATCACACGGAATAGCGTTATCCCTCACAATTTCAGGCGAAATTATAATGTCTTTGTGTCGCAAAAGTGATGCACATTTTTGCGACTTATCTGGGAATAAAGTTTGAGCTAATTGTTCAAATGCGTGTCCATATTCTGGAGGGATGGCATACCTATTTACATAATAAATATTAATTTCATTTTTCTTAAGAGCATGCAATTAATGCAAAAATATTTAGCAATTACCACGTCCTTGGCTTGCCAAAATGCAAATAATCAATCGAATACAAGTCCATATCTTCAATATGCCAGCCAAATGTAGTCTTCCAAGACCCAAAGTAAAGAAATGATGTGCTGCCTGGACCTTGATATTCGGCGTTATCTTCGCCCATACCAGAATCCACGAGTTTATTCACGTTCCAAAGTTTGCAGGTGGTATCCATTAACGATCCCTCCACACCGGCGCCATAAATTGGATTAGTGTACAACAATGTCTTCCAGTATTTGCGTTCCAGCTCGGCAAAGTTCACGTGCGATGGAGTGAAATGCCTAGATTTTTAATATTTCCGATTTAAAAAAGTTTTTTTGTTCAAATACATACTCTTAGGGCCCGTTCATATATTACGTCATCAAAAAAATCGGATTTTCAGACCCCCCTACCCCCTTTAACATGGGCAAGATAGGCACGATATCATTAGTGGTCAGACCCCCTCTCCCCCTCCCTTGTTGACGTAATATATGAACGGGCCTTAGACATCTGGTATAGTCACACAGATATTGATTTTTTGGTATTAAAGTTGCTACCGCTAAAATTATACCGGTCCGTAAAAATTTGCTACCGATATGATAAACCTTTAATACCGAGCTATTACTACACTACATTACTTCTCAATACCACTTTGGTCAGTTATATACAGAGTCCGGGTATGTATGTATTTTAAACTTTTTCAATAATAACCCGATCGGGTTGAAACTTTGGGATATTGTTCCTGGTCAGGCATAGGTCACACGGTCAAAAAAATGTTTTCAGATATTTTACATATTTCCAGGTTTTGGTACAACAAACCTTTCCACAAACTACAATCCACAATTCCACAAACTACAAACCTTTCCACAAACCACAAAAAAATCTTGTCCACTTTCCACACCACAGTCCACTTTGTGGATCCACACTGTGGTTTGAAAAGCTACATATTCTAATTATGTAGCTTTACATACATAATTAAACACGTGTTTCACAATTTTTCATAATGCTCAATTGCAACGAAGTTTTAATGGTATACGTGAACGACAATTTGCATTTTTACCGCGAAATTTGAAGATACAAATTCCCGCTTACGGATTATAATATCGTTTTCAGTGTGCATTATGGAAAATCATGAAACGTGTTTAATTATTTATCTAAGGCTATATCATTCACAAGAATGCCACAAAACCTAACCATAACTACAAACTACAGACCGGTCCACATTGTGGACCAGTCTGTGGTTTTGTGGATTGTAGTTGTGGACTCCACAACTACAATCCACAAGTCCACAAACCACAAAGCTTTCCACAAACTACAATCCACAATTCCACAAACCACAAAAAAATCGTGTCCACTTTCCACACCACAGTCCACTTTGTGGATCCACACTGTGGTTTGGACAGCTATGGCCCTTTAGTTGCGACCCTGAGCTATTCCGCGGTCCAATTGAGGGTCAGGTGGATACTAGTAGTGGCTGTGAACAAAATAAGCCCAACCACACCCACATGCATTGTGGGTGTGGCTCAAAAAAAATGTCAGTATTGATCAAAACGTCGATAAATTAAAAAAAAAATTTGTGCGAAACCATTTAAATTTGATCAAAACGTTTCTTCCGTCCATAATACATTATAAAACTCGGTTTTCTACAAGAAAAATTTAACTTTTTTGACAAATTTATCGACGTTTTGTTCAATTTTTAAAATTTTTTTGTGAGCCACATCCACAACGCATGTGGGTGTGGTTGGGCTTATTTTGTTCACAACCACTACTAGTATCCATCTGACCCACAATTGGACCGCGGAAAAGGTCTGGGTCGCAAATAAAGAACACCAAAGTACCTTGCGCGTCACGTTAGGGCACTCGAAAATATGACTAATTGCAAGTCCAGTCAAGGGGCTTGGTACAAAGTACCCTTAGTTTTTGACCTAGGAGGTCCATACCATCGGCAATAGACGCAGAATATATGGTTTCTGTAAGGTTTTGAAGTGGGATAGATACCATTTCATAAACACCGAAAATACGTCGAAAAAACGAAAAAAAGGTCGAAATTTTCAGGTCAAGGGCATTATAAATTTTGACCTAGGGGATTCATACTTAGCGTCACCGAGGACGACCCCAAATGAGAGGTCCATGCCAAGTTTGGCGCCTTTATCGGCTTTGGGGGCCGAGAAAAAGCTGAACCAAGCAAAATTACCTCTAGGGGCGAGTGGGTGGGGCAATTTGACAAAAAAATATTTTTCTGATTTTTTTTGGCGAAATGCGAACCCATTTCGGGTACTTATTTTTAAATCAAAAAATAGTCGTACAGGCAATGTATACCTTTAGTGAGAGTCCGTCAATTCATAAAAGATTCAGATCATCGTAGAAATAATACCAAAGCATGTTGAAATGTTTCTAGTTTGTCACTTTGAAATGTAAAAGCATTTTTTGGCATTTCTGCAGTCAAATAAGCAAAATTTGGGGCAATTTAAAGCGAATTAAAAATATGTTTTATATACATATATTAGCGATTTGGTTGAACATTTTACATAAATATTTCGGGGTTTTTAAGAACATGTTTAACCGGACTCTGGTTATATATGAATACTGCTTGGTATTATTTTAATACCGGATTTTTAAGAGTGTAAAATTTACATATGCCAAAAGTTATTATCAAAGTGGAGCATATTAATTACATAACTCACTTTGTTTCCGTATAGTCATGAAATTCTCGAACCGTCATTTGTTCTTTTGGGAGGTTAATTAGCCGATAAGATCCTTGTGTTCCAACGGCGATTTGTAAAAGTGGGGAAGGAATCGTCATGTCGTTAATGTCTTGATAACCTGCCATTCTGGGAACGTATCCTAAGGGTGGGATAACTTTTGCAATCCCGGCCTTATGTGCGTCGCATGATTCCATATATTTTACGTAGTTGGAAAATTCGCTAAATTGTTTCTCCGTTGGTCGAAACGTCTGTATTTTAGGACAAGCACTGGTCGCAGTATGGTTCGCCATGATGGAAAATGAGAAGTTTATTTTTTTCAAGGAGGGGGTTAAAGTTTATGAATTAATTAAATGTAATCGTATCTTTACTGCTTTTCTATTTTTATTCCCAACATATTTTAAGGTATCATTTATAATTTAAACTCCCGGGTAGCTCTTCATTCTCTGTTTGATACGAAACATTGATACATTAAAATTTCAGATGTTGTCCAGGATGCATTTATTTTGTCATGAACAATTTCAATTAGATAACTACTTAGAATATCTACTTAACTCTTTAGATAATCGGTTACATCAACACAGCGGCATAGTATTTTCATACAAAAGGATGTCATGTACAGAAATTTCGAATGAAATTGAAGTCATGTAAAAGATGACAAATTTGGATTTAGGACAAACCCACTGAGCACAAACACTCGAAAGAAGGATTGGATATGCTCACTTCCACTTCGTAGGATAAGGTATTGACCAGGGTATTTCTCACGATGTTCGGTGATAGTCAAAGGTTATGGTGAAAAAAATAATCGGGTCGTTTATTGTCCCCTCAACTTCCACCGCCACTGTAGATACTCCATGCAAAGCTAATTTTGAGGGGCTTTAGCGGCGGAAAAAATATCCGAGGAAGATTTGTAAGTCAAGGTCGTACCCCCAATATCAATACCAAAGGAAGGAATGATCTCCCTACTTCGAAGATTCGTCACGAAGTTTGATGAAGGTAGTGGATTAAAACAACACAAAATCGGTTTTAGTTCATAGATCATCTATTGTGGAAACTAAATACAATGACCATGACGTCATGATGACTGAACCGCATTTCCCATAACTATTAGCTATATAATAAATTCTTAATTATATTTTCTATCTCGAAAACTACTCGGGACTACAAGTTTTTTATGTTGCCATCTATATTATAAGCGAGAATGTCTGTTGGCAACGGAAGTGAAAGTAAATTTGTCTGTGACGGAAGTTTGTCCGTGACGGAAGTGAAAGCAAGGAAAGTTAAGTTTCGAATGGCGCGAAAATTCAAAATAAATTAAATTCAGAACAATAAATGTCATAACGTATGGTACTCTTTGTTGGAGTGGTGGTTATCTTGGGGTGGGTGGTCATCTGGGGGTGGCGGTTATTGGGGTAGTTCTCTGGCGGTGGTGGTTATCTGGGGGTGGAGGATATCTGAAGGTGGGTGCTTATCTAGGGATGGTGGTTATCTTAGGGTGGGTGGTTATCTGGGGGGGGTGATTATCTAGGGATGGTGGTTATCTGAGGGTGGGTGGTTATCAGAGGGTGGGTGGTTATCTGTGGTAGGTTATCTGATGGTGTTAGGGCCAAGGTGTCAAATTCCACTATCATTGGTGGTACAAGACTTCAGGTGGCCAGGCGGGCCGCCCGGGCCGGGCCGAGCCACCGGGATCAAATCCCATAACGTCTGAGCATTGGTGGTACAAGATTTCAGGTGGCCGCCGGGCCAATGTCCATAATCCAAGCTTTTGACATGGAATCGCAGCAAAATGGGCCTGATAATTCCCGCTAAATAGAAATAGGCTAGCTAGGATCGTTAAAGCTTCAATTTTCATTATGGCGGGAAAGCTTACTAACATTAGTGAGGTTTTTTTTGCAAAATATGTCCAAAATTAATTTTAAATTAAATTACAGACTGTGGTACTCTCTGTGGGTTATTTATTCGGGGGTGGTGGTTATTTAGGGATTATGGTTATCTGGGGGTGGTGGTCTTCTTGGGGTGGTGGTTATTTAGGGGTTGTGGTTTTCTGTGGGTGGAGGTTTTCTGGGGTGGTGGTTATTTAGGCAAGATGGTTATCTAGGGGTGGTGGGTTATCTGGGGGTAGTTAAGTAGTACACGGCCCGGCCCTCCTCAGCCCAGCCCAATCTCATCTCATAGTTAATGAGCATTACACGGCCGGGGCCCACTATCATATCGACGATATGACGATTCATAGCGACGATTGCCGATATGCTGCTTGCGCAACGGACAAATTTCTTTCACTTCCGTTGGCATCAAATAGTTTCAGTTAATAAATATCTACAAAAGATTTCGTTTGTGAAATTTTGAAAATAAAATCAACTCGCGCCCGGCGGGAGACGGGCTTATACGCTAGTATTGTATAACAAGGAACGAACTATCATATAAAATTTTCCAAATCCAAGTTTCCGAACATAATTTTCCGAAATTTTAACATTTTTAACATTAGAAATTATGAATTTCAGAATTTCCTCAATATCCACGCGGGAATACAAAGTTATTTATTTTTATTCTAACGTCTAATCTTAATATCTATATTGCCTAAAACTTTGAATCACTTTTGCCAACTAATTATTGAGAAACAATTTGTTATAGTGCAGTTGAATATTTACATATGTACATATGTACATACTTATTTACGTAAGTACACAACTAACGTAGCAAACTTATGTTTTATTAGTAAATATTAATGAACTACGAAAGACTTATTATACATAATTTTATCAAATCATATTTCCGGAAAATTTTTTCTAAAAATTCCTAAGTTTTATCATTGGAAAATGGGAACGGCAATCTACCGTAACCAACACCAATTTAATTTGTCTCAACTTCCCCCGTAACTATCTTAAATCCTAAAAATAAATCTCAATCACCCCTGTAACTTTCTCAAATCGTAGAAACACGTCTCAACTTCCTCTGTAACTTTCTCAAGGCGTAAAAATACGTCTCAACCTCCCCCGTAACTATCTCAAATCGTAAAAATAAATCTCAATCTCCCCTGTAACTTTCTCAAGTCGTAGAAACACGTCTCAACTTCCTCTGTAACTTTCTCAAGGCGTAAAAATACGTCTCAACCTCCCCCGTAACTATCTCAAATCATAAAAGTAAATCTCAATCTCCCCTGTAACTTTCTCAAATCGTAAAACTACATCTCAACCTCCGCTGTAACGTTCTCAAGGTCTCCAACAACATTTAGAAATCCATCTCATGTTCAATCACGATCTGTAAATACCAAAATTCCAATCTGCAACTATTGTAACTCACAATCTCAAACTAAAATACACAATTTGAAAGTACAAAAATCTTATCTGAAGCTACATATGTGAAACTGTCATTCATACATACGTAGGTGTTTTATTATTGATTTTCAAAAGGTATGTTCCGCATTGTTTCTGGCCAGAATTTTGATGAAATAACAAACTTCGGATACATTTAGGATCCTGTGATTTTTTTCAGATCTTTAGGTTAACATTAACACTAGCAATCAATCATCAAACTTTACCTCGACGGAAAAAATGTCAGATTTGCAAATTAAATATCGTAGTGTAATTTAATTTTTAACGCTGGAGGGGTAATCGGTGTCGCAGATTTATGATCGTATGCTTAAAATTTACAATGAAAACTGCTAAACACAAAACACAAATTCAATTGGGTCAATAATTTCAAATGATGGCGAAAAGAGGTCTCGGACAAAAAGCCGCTAGGACGCCCAAAATCTGTTTCTCCCACAGAAAGGCTCCGGAAACTAGAGGAACCAATAATGAGAGATCCGCGATTGAAACTGTCCTATTTAGCAGATGAGATGGGTGTTCCAAAACTAACAATTTGTTCCATGTTAACTGAAGACTTCGGTATGAAAATGGCTTCCTCCCGTTGTGTACTAAAATTGCTTTCGGCATCTCAAAAACAGGATCGAATCGACTTTTGGAATGAAAGTTTTGCCCTTTCAAATGAAACCTGGAACCTGATTCATATTTTAATAGTTGGATATGATACTTGGGTTTACTATTATGACCCGGAGACCAAATAATAATTCATACAATGGAAGCACGGGGGGTCGCCCCAGCCCATGAAAGCAAAAGTGCAAAAACCTGCCAAAAAATTGATGATTCCCATTTTCAAGGATATCAAAGGTCCCCTCCTTATAACATTTATTGGTAAAAATACTATGATAAATGTGGCAGCCTATGCAGGAATCCCGAAGGAGTTGTGTGCTCTGGTTGAAGAAAGACGTGGGGTCAAAAAAAAGAGTTGGTGCATTTTTAGCACGCCAAAGCCCCACCGCATAACTGGCATTTTGCGAGGGCTGCTGCAGACGGAAATCGCTTCACCTAGATAAACCACCTCCTGTACAGTCCAGACATGACCCCTGGTGATTATTATTCGTTTCGAAACTTAAAGAAAGACATCAGGGGGAAACGGTTTTCTGATGATAATAAAATCAAGTCGTAAATTTTGGCATATTTTCGAGGTAAATTTTGATGAGCTATTGCTAGTGATAATGTTAACCTATAGAACTGAAAAAAATCACAGCATCCTACATGTATTTGAAGTTTGTTATTTCATCAAAAGTTTGGTCAGAAACAGTGCGGAACATACCTTTTGAAAATCAATAATAAAACACCCACGTATATCAACATTTTAAAATTTTGTCATTTTTTCCTAAAAAATATGCCAACTTTTTCCAAAATGGTGTTTACTTCAGACAATTCTATCACTACACAAATTAAAATCGAAGAGCAATGAGATTTTTTTCAATGCTTTTGGAAATCCGTTAATCTTAATAAACTTCATAATGTGGTATCGACAATTTATGAACATTCGTTCCACACCAGAACTAATTTTTCATTCAGTTATGCTTTTCTAAAATCATACATACATATGTAGTTTACACCATGCACTTATATTATTTAACTCTATGGTTCACACGTACATATTTACATATAGCTGAAAATGGCTCTCATGCACGCATGAAAATATTTGAAATAACGAGACAAGTACCAATTATTATTACATATTCATATTATAGACGAGTCATTAGTGTGTATGTACTACATACTATGTAGTAACAATAATGAAAACTACAAAAAAAGTTGCATCAAATGTATTTCCATATTTGGGAATGACATGCTAAATATCAATTGGTTCTTACTTTTCAAAGGATTACCACATGCTTGGCTTTTCAAAATGAAATAATAAACCAAGTACAAGTCCATACCTTCGGGATTGCAGCAAGGTGACAGTTTTCCAAGATCGGAAGTATATGCAAGAAATACTGTACCATGCTGCCTGGACCAAAATGTTCACCGTTATCTTTCCGCAAACAAAAAGTTTGCTAGTTTATTAACGTTCTAATTTGCACCCCCGGTGGGAAACCAAGAAGTGTAATAAACTTTCAAATAAAAATACTTTTGGCCATGGTAAATGCAATATTACAATGACTTTTATAAAAAAAATATCAACATAGCCTTACTTTGGGCCAACTTCAAAAAATGAAAACACATCGGGAGCCTGAATTAATCTTGTAAATTCAAACTTTATGCGATAGATAATTTGGTAGGCTATGGAATAAAAATAAATTTTTACTACCGGAGATGCCATCGGGAAATCTGTTTCGTCAAAAATGTGAAAAAATCCCACTCTTTTCAGTTTCAAAAAATGAAAACACAAAGGGAGCCTTAATTAATCTTGTAAATTCAAATTTTGTGCGATAGATAATTTGGTAGGCTAACGAATAAAAATAAATTTTTACTACCGGACATGCCATTGGGAAATCTGTTTTGTCAAAAATGTGAGAAATCCCACTCTTTTCAGTTTCAAAAAATGGAAACTGATCAAGAGCCGTGATCAAATTGGGAAAACACAATTTTATCTAATAGAAAATTAGTTAAGCTATCAAATAAAAATACTTTTGAACCCGGGAAGGCTAGGGAGTATTGATTTTTCTAAAAAGAATGAGACACCCGGACATCTCTGTCAACTTTAAAAAATGGAAAACCCTAGCGACCTAACCCTAAATTGGGAAAAATGAATTTTACTTGATAGATAATTTAATAAGGTGCCAATTAAAAATAAATTTTCATTACCAGATATGTGTTTGGTCTATCTCTTTTGTTGAAAATGTGAACTCGGACAAACTTTTTCCAACTTGAAGAAATGAAAACGCACCAATAGCCGCGAACAAATAGGGAAATCCCAATTTTTTGCAATAAATAATCGGATAAGCTATGAAATAAGCCTACCTTTGAGTCCGGCAAATGCTTCGGGGTAGTCACTTTCTCCAAGAAATTAACTTCAAAAAATGAAAAACTCCCCGACCGGGCCCCAAACTGGGAAAAATCAATTTTATCTAGTTTAATACATACATAGTTTAATAAACTATCAATTGAATTGAAAATATATTTTCAATACCAGATATCCATTCGGTCAATCCCTTTTGTCGAGAAACTAAACCAGATTCCATTATCTCTACCTTTACCTCCAAAGACGAATGATGAGTCATCAAGAAACACCATGATGAAATTGGAAAGGCACAATTTTATCCATAAGAGGGTTTAATATACAAATTATCAAATACAAATACTACTGACCATGGGAATGCCTCAGGTAAATGACTTTTCTCAAGAATGTGAACCAAATCCAACTTCAAACATTAAAAGTCAAGAGCCTTGACCAATTGAATATATTATAGTTGTAAAGCCCCCGGATCTCTATGGGGTTTGCGTGTCTTGATGCACACCCACTTTCGTGTATGTCCCTTATTTTATGACTTGTGTGCAATAAATTTGTAGAAGTTCACTTTCTTAATTTACCTTTGCTTACAATGTGCTCTGCCTGTACTCAGGTTAAGGTTTGGTTAACCATGAGTGGCAAGTCACTATTCTTACTAGTTATGTATCTCATTGTATTCAATTTCCATATCTACCCCATGATCAATTTCACTAATCTCTTCACAAATATTGTTGTCCACATTATGAAGTATAATTAATATGGAAAATTAAGTTTAATATCTTCACGGGTAGATATAGAAACTGAAAACAAAATTATGTTTTTTTACTCACTCTCACTATGGAGCAATGGACGAAAATCCATACTATATAATATTATATGCAAACTAAATCCATGTATGTAGCTTGAATCCGTTGTCTTTCGGAATGCAAATGTTGCTTACGTAAAAGCATTACAAAGGATGCATATCTTTATATGTACGTATTAGATAATTTAATAAGTTTTCGTTTAAAAATATCTTTGACCCCAGGACCATGGCTTATCTTAAGAAATTAGACATGTTAGACATGTTTCTGTGAGATTTTCGAGCATTTTTAGACTTGTCAACTTACTGGTTTTCATCTTATACAGATTATTAAGTAACGTCAGCTACTCATTGCGATTGTTTTGTCCGTCTGTAAGCAGGATATCTTCAGAACGAGTCAAAATAATCAAACCCCGTTTTCACCATTGTGCTTCTAATTTTTAGTTCTCGGCCGAGTTATGGGCCAGTCTAACCACACCCCACTGAGGGTGTGGTCCAAAATTAAATTTAACCTTAATTTTCATGTGGGGTGTCATTTTAAAGGAAATTTCACCACAAATTCGAAATCAATATTGTTGACCTTATGACCTTGAGGACGAGGTCAAAGGTCAAAGGATACATAATTGTGATATGTGGTGTCATTTTAAATGTAACTGAGATTTCAAGGATGTTAATATTTTTGACTTCATAACCGTTGGGACGAGGTTATATACGGAGAAACATTAAACTAGAATCGCTCTGACGCTACTTATTTACATTCGTTTGGAGGGTTTATTATGAATTTTTTGATATCCGTTTTTCCATTTCTTTTTATTTTGGTACTTATTGTCAACCATATTTGAGAGCTGGTAAATATAAATGCGATCACATTGTCAACTTAGATTTCGATGGATAATAAAAAGGGTCGTGGTACGAATATCGCATTTATGACGGCCGGAACTTTGCTGGAGAACTTAATCCTGTCCAAGCAGAAAACTCGATTCACTCACATAATTTTGGACGACGTTCACGGGAGGGATATTATCACCGACGAACTCTTACTTCAAATTAAGATTCTACAACTTGAAGATCCAGATTGGAATATTAAAATCATTCTATTATCTGCAACAATGAATACTGCCAAATTTGCTGATTACTTCAATCATAAACTCGTTGCAACGTTGGAAATTCCTGCTTCAGAAAAACTGTACCCGATTCAAACCTACTTTATTGACGATCTGCGAGAGAAGACGCCTGAAGGAATTGTAAGCAAAAGTAGTTAGCTGCTACCATACATGTTCACATTCATTCATTTAATGGTGAATGAATAAGTTATTCATTCAATATTAAAAGTTTGAATGAATATTGAATGAATATTTTATTCTGATTTTTGAATAAATGAATAATGAGTGAATATCTATTCAATTCGTGTGAATGAATAATGAATGAATATTTTTCATCGTTCATTTTTAACTCAATGCTCAATACATAGGGAAACTTGAGGAATTCATATAATACTGTGAATTTTGAACAAAATGAATAATGAAGGAATGGTGAATAATGAATAAATATTGAATAATTAATTAATATTTTTTTACAAATTATGAATGAGTGAATTAGGAATGAATATTTCTTTTCAAGGCTTTGAATGGATGAAGTTTGAATGAATAAATATTTTTTGAACATGTATGTCTGGTACTAATTATAAATGTGGATTAATCTGATTCAATCAAATTTTATTGCAGCACGTGTTCAAGCTCTACAATTTTGATCCTATAAAGGACAACGTCGTTAATCGAAACTACGATCAAATAAGTCCTCTCATCTCTCAGTTTTTCAAACTTGATACCTTTGATGGAAAACAAGGAGCGGTTCTTATATTCCTGCCGGGAGTAGGAGAAATTTCCTCGCTTGGAGAGAAGCTGAGGTACAAATAAACACACATTTTGAGCTATTAATTTAAAGAATCGTTGTAAGATTCTTTCTGTATTGCAGTGCTTACTCTTCGAAAACAGAAAAGCGTTGGATTATACATGAGATGCACTCTAACAAATCGGATGAAGATCAGTCTGCAATATTCGAACCTGTAGAGTATCCACATCAGCGAAAAATTATCCTCGCCACTAATATCGCAGAGAGTTCGATTACAGTGGAAGACATAAGATATGGTAGTTTTGTTAAGTGGAGATTATTGTAACACTTATGTAATACTTGATTGTTATATGTAGTAATCGACTTTGGCTTAACAAAACACATGAAATTTGATCCCAATACCACTTTCTCTGGACTTTGTATTGACTTGGCGTCTCACCATCAGTGCATCCTACGGGCCGGACGATGTGGTAGAATGGGACCAGGATATTGCTTCCGTTTGTTCACCAAAGTGTTTTATGTAAGTCGTTAGAAAGCAATTATTCACTCGAGTGAGACAATAATAAATTTTTCATTTTATAAATTTAAGGAAACTAAAATGAAAGAAGAATCTGTTGCGGAGATGCAGACTTGTGGTCTTGGACTAGCATTTCTTCATCTCAAAAGACTTAACCTTGGTGACCCGGTGTATTTATTCAGTAAAGCACTTCATCCCCCAAATTTTACAAACATTGCCGCGACTGTATTATCGCTAAAGGAAGTTAGTACATATCAAATATTTTAATAAAGCATTGTTTAACTATGTTTGCCTAATTAATTACGAAACTTTTCATTTAGTGTGGAGCCCTCACAATGCTTAAAAGGGATCGATCTTATGTCGAGACAGACGGAGAAATTACAACGATTGGTCAACTTGCAATCTGTTTATCATGTGATCCTAAACAAGCGAGATTAATTGCGTTTGGTCATATCTTTGGCCTTTTAGACGAGTCTATTGTTTTTGGTAAGTTGATTTGTCGATAGATGTTTATTAAGGGGCGAAGCGAAATCCCTTAATGAAAATTCCCTGTCGGTCTGTCTGTCTGTATCCACAATGACTTTAGAGCGAAATTCAACATGCGGTTTTCGCCGTCCTGATCTACTTTCGTGGATGTCCCTTATTTTGCGACTTTATGCAATTATATTTTGAAGGAGAGGTTCACTTTTTAAGGATAATTATAAACATACTCGAGGTTACGGTTTGGTTAACCATGAGAGGCGAGTTAATAGATACTTATCCTACTACTGAATCTCATTGTTGTCGGTTTCCATATCTACATACCTACCATTTCCATATCGATTGAAGTCATTATTTTCTTCACAATTATTGTTGCATAGGTATAAGCTGGAAATGTCTGTTGGCAACGGAAGTGAAAGTTATTTTCCGTGACGGAAGTGAAAGTGGAGAAAGTTAAGTTTCGAATGGCGCGAAATAAATCAAAATAAATTAAATTCAAAAAATTAAATGCCAGAAGGTGTGGTACTCTTTGTATGGGCTTATGGGGGTGGTGGTTATTTAGGGATGGTGGTTATCTGAGGGATGGTGGTTATCTGGGGGTGGTGGTTATCTGAGGGGTGGTGGTTACCTGGGGGTGGTGGTTATCTGGGTGTGGTGGTTATCTGAGGGATGGTGGGTATCTGGGTGTGGTGGTTATCTGAGGGATGGTGGTTATCTTGGGGTGGTGGTTATCTGGGTGTGGTGGTTATCTTGGGGTGGTGGTTATCTTGGGGTGGTGGTTATCTGAGGGATGGTGGTTATCTGGGTGAGGTGGTTATCTGGGTGAGGTGGTTATCTGGGTGAGGTGGTTATCTGGGGGTGGTGGTTATCTGGGTGTGGTGGTTATCTTGGGGTGGTAGATATCTGAGGGGTGGTGGTTATTTAGGTAAGATAAGTGGGCGGCGGTGCCCAAGCCCAGCCCGAGCCCAATCACTCCTTAGAGTGAAGTAGCGAGTAGTACTGTGCCCAAGCCCAGCCCAGCCCTAGCCCGATCACTCCTTAGAGTTATATTGAAAATCACAGAAACTACCCCCGTACAACAGGAGACGGACTTATACCCTAGGAGTAAGTGGTCACTCCGCTGCGGATTGGAGTAGGAGTGGAGTGGGAGTGAGTCGCGAGCACACCGAAATGTCACTCGACTGGATAAAGTGGGAGTAAGGTCCCGTTACATTAATTGAGTACGACACCGCATCGTGGTTCATAGTTTGAAGACGGAGGTTTGGGGTTTTACTTAATACAATTGTACCTCCAATTTAATTTAACAAACACCGTGAATAAAGAAAAACAGGGAAATATTCTGACGAAGGCACTAGAGTCAGAATATTATTTATTTTACTTCGACGTGCTATTGTACTCAGTGAGTCTACATTAACCTCTCACATCGCAGCGAAATAGTCAAGATAACCACCCAAAATAACCACCATTTTACGACCATCCCAACATAACTACCATCAGACATTGATTTTTTTTAATTTAATTTGTTTTTACTTTTCGCGCCATTCGAAACTTGACTTTCTTTACTCTCCCTTGCGTTGCAGATAATTTTCTTTCACTTCCGTTACCGACAGATATTTCCAGCTTATAATTTTCACTCGCCCGGCGGGAGACCGGCTTATACGCTAGTTGTTGTATATGATGTGAACTTACTGTCACTCTCATTAACATACCCGCTTATTTTACATGCAAACTAAATCTATATAGTTTCCTGACCTTTGCAACGCTAATGTTGTTATGAAACTGCATTACGAAGGTTGCAGCGTATTTCTAATTTTTGAATTACGAATGAGCTCGAAAATGGGCGTTGTAGGTCATAAGGTCACGGCGATGAGACCCACAGTCCAACGTGTTTAATCTTTAGTTTCAACGTATTAGGCAAAGTTCTTAGAAATCGACACAGTTTTGACCTACGATGACCGCGTGAGCGTATCGCATCACGCATTTGTTACATTTTGTTTGTAACGATTTCTTTATAGGGTATTTGAATATTTACGCACTATTGCTACGTCTGTTCATTTATTTAATTTTGTCCCTTACAGCAATGTCCCTTTGTTTGAAATCCCTCTTTGCAACATTCTCAAAAGAGAATCAAACAAGTGGAGTAGAGGCTTTCATCCGGAAAATTGAACTTGGTGGCTCCGCATTATCTGACGCCCTTTCAAATCTCGGCGCATATCAACTATATTTGGACAGCATACGCGATAAATCGTCGCTGAAACCATGCTTCACCGTCATGAGGGAAAACTTTGTTAAGTCCTCAAGTGTCCGGAACCTGGAATATTTAATTGATCGAGTCCACAGGAGACTATATTCTGGTTTTGGCCTAGGGACGGAAAGAAAATTGAAAACCGTATCAGAATTATTGGAAGACAACCACACCCGTTTTCAGGTTCAGCTACTATTGGCTTCTGCATCGTACCCAAATATTTTTTACCGAGCTCCAGCAACAAATCAGGAACGTAGGATCAAACTTGTCCAGAACGAAATTGGATACTTTAATCCCAGCACGTCTTTCCTTCTGGAAACCGAGCCGACGAATGATCCCCCGACACATTCAAATTTAAAGGAATTAACTCGACAATTAACTTTTGCCTCTGATCAACCCATTGTAAGCTGGCAAGGTGGAGGAAAATTGGCCGTCCAGTATGATCCAGATCCAAATGAACCTGACGAATGGGTCGGAAATGTGGCAAAGAATGTTTATCGTGGCCTAAAATTCAAGGCAATGTGTCACAAATTTTTTTGGACACACCACAACATGTACAATTTGTTTATACAAAATATTGAAGTCAAATGCTTATTTTCTGTTTGTTCAGGTTTCGTGTTTTTTTTCTTACAGGGGTGGCTCAAACGACAAAGTTTTTTTGAATGGGCCACGTTCATCGACTGCCATCAATTTCAAGTCCTTCTTTTCTGGATGCAACCCTTATATTGAGGTTGACCGAGATTCAGTCAACCAATTCTCAATTGACCAAAACTATCCACATCCGAGCGCGTATACACTGGTATCCCTGCAGGTGGCACAACGAGAATCAAAGTTGGTGGCTAAAGACTCCACGCTGATGCCCTCGATGAATGGAATGTTTGAATTGCTGCATCTTATTTATGCCCCTCGTATCCAACTTGTACCACATCCTGACGTAAATCCAGGACGCAATGATACATATGCAGGTTGTATCACCGGCCTCGGGCCTATTCCAGGCAGTTCAACTTCAATATTTCCGAGCCATGATTTTCGAATGCCGTTCACTATTCCAATCCATCGTAGAGATATTATGGAAATTAATGACACTCGAGGACGGATAAACAAACTTCTAAGATATGAAAATTTCAGATGTGACGACAAGTTTGAGATCTACAGACGAGAAAAATTCGTCCAGTGTCTTATGGTGTAAGTTTTTTTCTTGTACGTAGTTTTTTGAGGGAAGGCAAAATAATCTAAAATAATATATTTGACCTTTTCTGAATGTTTTCAGCCTGATCAACAGAGAGCGACCCATGATCAACACTATCAACTATCCTTTCCCAGAATGGATGCAGGATAATTTTGAAAATCGTCGAAGTGTGTTTGACATTCTGCCGTCACATCAATTTTAGAGGATGTGGAAACGATGCATTGTTAGTGTCTAAGAATTATTTGTTTATTGTTTGGTATTCAAAAGGTCGTATTAATTTTTTATATTTGTCAACGAGTTTAATGTTATTTTTTACCAAGAACTATACACCACCATGAATGCGACCATTAAGAGCCAAATTTACTGTGCCACCATTAATACATAAGTATTCCACCGCAGATATGCATGCAAATATGAATATTTACGTATATATATTTTGTACACATTTTGTAATGGCAATTCTCTTAGTTTTAGAATATTTGCATGCAAGAAATTTGCACTTGTCCGGTGGTTTAATAAATAAGTGTTCCCCAAAATTCGTCCAAACAGAAAAACTAATCCAACCCAACTTTATTTATGTATAAGTATGCCATTACGCCTTGAAGTACTTACAATGCGATGACGCCAGCGGTCTCGCTCCGATTTTGACGAAACGACGATAATTATGTAGCCTTAGATAAATAATTAGACACGTGTTTCAGGATTTTTCATAATGCTCAGTTTAAACGAAATTATGACGAAATCCGTGAGCGAGAATTCCCATTTTCACCGTGACATTTTTCTCGCGAGGGAGAAAAATACAGATTCTCCATTATGGAGTCCATCATAAGTAATTTCGTTTAAACTTAAAATTGGTGGGCACGAAGTGGTTTTTTACGATTTTGGTTTGTTGCATTTTTGAAAATTTTGAAAATTTTGAAATTTTTCAGAAATTTCCGAAAATTTTCAAAATTTTGAAATTTTTCAGAAATTTCCGAAAATTTTCAAAATTTTTGGAATTTTCGCATTTTTCTCGTGACGTTTTTCTATTTTTGTTTTTGAGGGAGAAAAATGCGAATTTTCGGCCACTTATACCATCGTAACTTTGTTTAAACTGAGCATTATGAAAAATCCTAAAACATGTGTTCAATTATTTATGCAAGGCTACATAGTTATTGTGGTTTCATCAAAACATTTTCAGAAATTTTCAAAAATTTTCAGAAATTTTCAAAAATTTTCAAAATATTCAGAAATTTTCAGAAATTTTCAAAAATTTTCAAAATTCAAATTTCAAATTTCAAATTCAAATTTCAAATTTTCAAAATTTGTACAAGAAATATAAAATCAGAAAAACACTTCATGCCCACGCATTTTAAACGAAATTATGATGGACTCCATAATGGAGAATCTGTATTTTTCTCCCTCGCGAGAAAAATGTCACGGTGAAAATGGGAATTCTCGCTCACGGATTTCGTCATAATTTCGTTTAAACTGAGCATTATGAAAAATCCTGAAACACGTGTCTAATTATTTATCTAAGGCTACATAATTATCGTCGTTTCGTCAAAATCGGAGCGAGACCGCTGGCGTCATCGCATTGTTAGTTTTGATCTCTATCTTCATTTGGAATTCGGTAAATTGTATGGCAAACATAATATACATATCTTGCGAAAATCTAATTTAGCTCAAAGCATATCTTCCTCGCCTCGTTTTTAACTAATTTTATTGAGATAATATAATTCTCTTTCATAACAAGTATGTACTTATTATTCTGATAAGTGGTGTGCAGCTGCATAAAACCATATTTAAATTATGAAACATGACATATTGGGAGGAATAAATTGGTACAATTTTTGTGATTAATTAAAAATTTTTAAAATTTAAATTTTGCATCATCATTTCATCAATGATTTCCATTCAATCAATTTATAAATTAAAATGAGACTAGGAAACGTGGAAAGAAAGCAATCTCAAATCATGAGCCATGAAAAGTGTCCGAGGTGTGAAGTTAGTCGCTGCGGGAATTTGAGGATGACGATGGCATCTCGGAGGAAGTAATAGCATCACGAATTCAGAGCTTGCGTTTGGGGCATCCATATATTACGCATTAACACATACAAGCTTATATATGGGAATATTCCCAAAAATTATCAAAAAACAAGAGGCGTAAACACAACTTTCAGCGACAAAATTCAAATGTCATACCAGTAAAGATTATTTTTAACGCTGAGTTAAAAAAATGTGACTAAAAAAATGTAGTTATGACCGCGTCGACATTTAAAAAGTTAGTACGTGCTACGCCCACTGCTGGTGAGCACCACCATCAGTAGTGTCGCTCGGAGTGGAGAGACAACATCTCCGCTCTCATGACTCTCGCCCGATCGTGGGTATTGACGTGGACCGACCCTCATGTTTGAATTTTAAACTTTTTCGGTAACAACCTGAATGAATTCAGACTTTCTGATCTTGCATGTGGTCAGGAATATGTATGCCACAAGGTCAAAAATGCCTTCACATAGTTTACATATTTCGAAGTTTTGACACGTATGCTATGACATATGTATGTACGTATGTATGAATTTATATAATTCTAAATATTTCGTTATCTGTTTATCTAATTTTGTTATTTTGATATTTCTACTATAGATTTAGACTTACGTTATGGTGTTAGTAAGCTCTATTAGTAACCTTCAGGTTATTGAGAAATTTCTTTTGCTACATTTGGTCCATCGAAGTTGTGTAGTTCTAAGCATAGGATGAAGTATGCTAAGATTGATGGATTTTAAAACGTATTGCAATAAAATGGCTTTGCTCTTCGGTTTTAATTACATTGGTGGTAATATTATCCGAAGTAAAAATCAATTTAAAAAAACGTGCCAATTTTTGTAAGAACAATTTTGTGTAAAATTCGAGAGTTTTGTACCTATCTAACTATGCACATAAATGCATTTTAAATGTCACATTTTTTTAGGTAAGCCATGGTCCAGTTATATTTGCCGGGGTCAAAGATATTTATTCGAAACCTTGTTATATTGTCTAATATAAGACTACAAGTTTTTACGCCCGTCAATCGACGGGTAAAAAAGGCCCGTCGATCGGCCCGTGACCCCAAGCAGAGAATGCAAACATTAGTGAAGTGAAGTTAGCCTCCTTTTTCTCTCGCTGCAGAGCAGAGAGAGAGAGAGAGGAGGCTAACTTCTCAACTGTGTTACCGACCCAGCAGCGACTCACTCGCCTGTTTTAAGTTAAGTAGATAATATATTGAATTGGTCACGGCTCTTGATGACTTTCATTTCTTGACGTTAAAAAAATTATACTTGGTTCACATTTTTGAGACAAATTATGGCATTTATCGGGCTCAATATTATTTTTTGATAGCTTAACTAATTGTCTATTGGATGAAATTAGGTTTCCCCAATTTCATAACGGCTCTTGGTGAGTTTTCATTTTGCAAGTTAAGAAAAGTGGAAACGAATTGAGTTTTTCGACAAAAGTAATTGACCGAATGCACATATGGTATTGCAAATTTATTTTTAATTGATAGTTTATTAAATTATGCATCAGATAAAACTGACTTTTCCCAATTTGGGGCGAAGTCGCTGGGTGTTTTCATTTTTTGAAGTTGACAAAAGTGGCCGGGTATATTATTTTTTAAGAAAAAGCAGTTCTCCGTAGCATTACCGGGCTCAAAAGTATTTTCATTTGATAGCTTAACTAATTCTGTATTAGATCAAATTGTGCTTTCCCAATTTGATCACAGCTCTTGATGAGTTTCCCTTTTTCGAATTTGAAAAGAGTTGGATTTAGTTCACATTTTTTACAAAAGAGATTGTACAATTGCATTTCCAGGGTCAACAGTATTTTGATTTGTCTGTAAGTTTATTACCTTGTCTGTCGGTTATATGTATGTATGACCTTTTCGCCTAGATTTCCCACCAGTAAACTTTAGATAATAAGCTAGTAAAGTTTTGTTTGCGGAAAGATAACGGTGAACATTTTGGTCCAGGCAGTATGGTATTTCATTTCTTTACTTCCGATCTTGGAAAACTGTCATCTTGTTGAAATATCGAAAATATGAGCTTCTACTCGATTGATTACTTACAGTTTGGAAAGCCAAATTCTTTAAAAAAGTAAGCACAAATTTATATGTAGTATGTCATCCTCAGGATACGGAAATGCATTGATCATGGTCCAACTTATTTTTTTTAACTTTCATTATTGTTAATATATATATGCATAGTAATGACTTGTCGATAATATGCAAATGGTAACCTCTAATTGGTACTTGTCTGAGACAAGTACCAATATTTTCATGCTTGCTCGAGGATTGAGGATCATTCTCAACTATACATGTGCACATGTATAGTTGTGCATGCACAAATGAAATATCTATTGTAGTTGCCATTATTTTTACCACGCCTATACGTATACTAACGAATCGTCTATTCACAGGTATTAATAATCATTAAGATAATTTAAAACATTTTAGGAACCATACTTATGATTTCAGAAAAGAATAGCTGCATGAAAAATTAGTTCTGGTAGTAACACATTTTTAGGATTTGAGAAAGCTAAAGGGGATTTCTGAGACCTGTTTTTAAGATTTGAGATGGTAACTGGCGTACGTGATACGTATTTTTACGATTTGAGAAACTTACTCGGGAGGTTGAGACGTATTTTAATGATTTGAACTAGTTACAAGGAAGGTTGACACGTGTTTTTCAATTTGAGAAAGTTATAGCAGAGGATGAGACGTATTTTTACGGCTTGAGATAGTGACTGGGGAGCTTGAGACGCGTTTTTGCTGCTTCAGATGATGACTGGGGAGGTTGTGTTTTTTTAAGACTCGAGTTAGTGGCCGCCTGGCCGGGGAGGTTGAGACGTGTTTGTAAGACGTGATATCGTAACTGGCGAGGTAGAGACGTGTTTTGTCTGGTTGAGATTGCTTATTTAGTGATGGTTGTAATAATTTGGATGGAAAGTTTGTAATCTAAATATGCGCATTTCAAATTAAATTTTTATCAAGTTTTGCTACCCCTCATAATTTTGTGTTACTGATTTCCTACCGCCCACGCAACCGCGGGGTATGTTTTTCTCTTAATACCGATCTGTAGATACTCTATACGCGAGTTGATGTTTACCGAAACTTTAATGGAAATTGTACGCCCTGCAAATTTTCAATATAATCTTCCGGGTTTGAGTAAAAAGGTATGTATTTGATTC